AGACAGGGTTTCACCATGTTGACCAGGATGGTCTCGATCTCTTGACCTCGTGATCCACCCGCCTCGGCCTCCCAAAGTGCTGGGATTACAGGCTTGAGCCACCGTGCCCGGCCAAAAAAAAATTTTTTTTAAGAGACAAAATCTTGCTGTGTTGTCCAGGCTGGTCTCGAACTCCTGGCCTCAAGCAGTCCTCCTGCTTTGGCCTCCCAAAGTGCTGGTATTACAGGCATGAGCCACTGCACCTGGCCTGTACTGGGTTTTTTTTTATATATGTATTATAATGAGTTAATATACCTGTTAAATTTTTTTTTTTTTTTTCCTCTTTAATTCTTTATTACCCCCTCTTGATACTAAAAAAAAATGTTCTGTTGCAGAAGGATATTAGTCATGAGAGCAAAGGAAAATAAAGCCTGGTCACCTGAGACTTAAAAGACTCTGTAAGAGTTTCTGTTTTAAAGAGTTTCAGTGTTGACCCTGCCATCCTCTTAGAATATGAAATTGATAATGTGCTACTCTTACAATAATGTTTTAATAATTAAATGTTTTCCTGTGTCTGTGGGCAGGTTAAAACTACTTAAAAACCCTGTTCCAACAATGTGAAACCTGAGTTTTTTTAAATCCAAATTTTTTGTTTAAGTCATAGACAAAACATATATGAACAGACTGGTTACACAAGTAGAACATAGTAAATTTTTATATGGGAACAGTTGTATCCTCACTACTAATACTAAAAATAAAATTTTAAGCAATTTATAATACTCTTCATATAATATTCTTCATAGTAACAAAATGTGGATGTTTTTAAATGATGTTCAGTGATAAGGTTTTATGAGAGTAGTATACTCATACATTACTGGCAATAGTGTAAATTGCTAAACTTTAGATGGCAGCATGACTATATAGCTAATGACTTGAATACTTCCATAGTTTTTGACTTTTAACTCCATTTTTATGAATGGAATAAAAATGACTTAAAACATCACTCATTTATATACATGAAATATGTAAAAGTGAAAAGACTTACAGTGTGAGGGCAGTGGAATTATGGATAATACTTAAGGGTCTTTTTTCTTCAATGTTGTTACTGTTAAATAAAAGAGGAGAAGATATCTACAAGGAGTTACAATCTTGGGAAATGGGTTTAGGAGCAGAAACTTAACCATATTCAGATCTACATAACTTAAATGTGTGAATTTCAGTAATTACTGAAATGTAACTAGTTAACCTGTTGGACATTTTAGTTTAGAAATAAATCCCAGAAGTTAGATTAAAATGGCAAGTTTTGTTTCTTTTTTAGTGATCACTTTTTATCTTTTAAAACAACAGGTAATCAAGAACAGCAAGACAGACATCCCAGAGCTGGAATTATTTCCCCGCTATCTTCTCTTCCTGAGACAGCAGCCTGCCACTCGGACACAGCAGTCTAACATCTGGGTGAATATGGGTATGATGAGCCTGAGAATGTTTCCTCAGCATTTACCGAGAGGTAACTTAAGAATGCAGCAAGAATACCATGAAAACTACGTTGCTCGAAGTCTGGTGCCACTGTATTGATACACATTCCCATCAGCTTTCATACAGAATCAGTAATTCACTTTTACAGGGCTTAGATCTACGGTCATGCGCAAGACTAGATGAGGGGTAGAAGAAAATCCCAGCAGCAAACTGAGATGCGTTGTTTCCTTTTCTATTTACAAAGAAAAATAAATAGAAATAGATTTTACGTGCTTTATTTCTTTGCAATAAGCCATTGTAAATGGTTACTAGACTAAGTAGTAGTCTTCCAGTCATTGAGTGGTCTTTTCAACTCCACTCAAATCTGTAAAAAGTAATTCCTTTTACACTATCATCTTTTTTGTTTTTTAAGGTTTTTGTTGTTGTTTGGTTTTTTGGCAAAACATGATACATTTCTTTTGCCTGGTCTAAAGAACGTTTATATAAGAGA